ATTAACGCGGTAAGATTACGGTTGAAGAAAATGTGGTTTGGAAAGAGCTGGCGAGTTAACGAAGGTTATAATTGATGATAAGTGATTGTCACCACTATAAACATGTAAACAACTGTCTAATCAATTGGTCAAACACTCTCCTCATCTACAATAGAAAAAAGCTGTATGATCATGAGATGAGGAAGCAATGAAAAATCCAATATCATAACCAATTTTCAAACTTTAAATTCTCCTTCCTTTTCAAATGATGATGTTTTGAATAGTTATTGATGTTTCAAAATATGATATTGTGATATTTTATACTAGTTCTATTGAAAATTATGTAACCAGTGAAGTTTTATAAATTTTTTTATGATTGATTTAATAATACTTTTTAATAAAATGTGTGTGTTTTAATTTTTGTGTTTTTAACCAAAATATCGTATAATTTGAAATAGAAGAAGCATATATTCTAGTCGGGTCCACTAAAAGCTTCATTCTTCTTCTACTTTTTAATACGGTCAACTTTGTTACATGTATTGATCTAGGAAAAAATATACTGAGATACCTGATGACGTCATGGTTATGTAAACACTTGTCAGACAAGTTTCCAGAAGTTTTGATGTAGAATTATATTGTCGTTGTTCAGGAAAAAAAGAATTATATTGTCGTTAACTTAGAAGTAGTCAAAGACTTTGTATCTTTGTATCTTTGTATCTTTGACTCTTCAAATCAGTAGGACGTACCCACGGGAAGAGAAAGAATGGATATATCATCTAACCTTCAATAAGGCGTCATCCTTATGACATGCTGTCGAAAGCATTTATGTCACGTGATCCCCGGCATATAAACATGTGCGCTTATATGTATGTGCATTAGTTTTGTCAAAATAAAGATAGATTTGGGAATTAAATTCTGCATTAAGTTGTTGATTTGTAGCTTCGTAGAACTTACATTATGTAGCCTTGCAAAGTTCATAGTAAACGAAACAATTCTTACAAACCAATAATATCATTACAATGTTGGTTACCATGAAATTTATGCTGTTATAGTATTTTCAGATTCCAAATTTGACGCACTCCATTCATATTAAGTTGTTATAAAAGTTTGTTACAAAATAAATGTCATTTTCAAGTTTCAATAGAAAAACTATTAATTTTATTTTATAATTTATTCTTTATTAGTTACAATGTAGTTATGTGTATAAGTAATTGTATTTTATATAGAAAATATATCAAATTAATTAGTTCTTTAATTTGTGTAAAATAACATTTAAAATGAAACACAAAGAGTATTAGTATTTTTATATTTTGGAAATTGGATCAATAAATATTTTGTGAGCAAGAAAGTATATAAATATTTCGCATGCAATAATTGGGATATCCACCACGGGGTCCATTAACAAAACAAGAGATGATGGATAATCCATATTTACTTTTGTCTTTCGACAAAACATTTCGAATTGAAACTTAGTATTAGATAGGGGGGGGGGGGGATGATGAATTGATGACGTAACGCAAACCATTGATCATTTAATCCAAATATTTCTTGCTTCATTCAGCTCGTGTTACTATTTTGTTTGTTTTTCTCTGACATAAACGTTGCCATTTTGAAGCAGAAAAAGGAAAGAAAAACTTCTTTCTATAATCAAAATTAGCTAAATGTTTTATAGGAAAAGAGAGATTGCGTCCTCAAAACAAAAATAAAAACCTTTTTAAGGCATTTATTGACTTGTAAATCATCTTCTTAAATTTGGCCAACTGTCAACACAACAACTCTTTCCTTACTCTATATAAATATATACACATCTTCACCAACACATAAACACATTATTCTTCACTAACTCTCTCTCAGAGTTTAAAGATGCCAATCCCAGAGGAAGTTTCTGGTAAGAAGAGGTTAGTTGTTAAGAAGCTTTTCGCTAGACAGCAACACGAAGGATTTGGTGCTGTTGTAAGAAGAAGCATTGGAAGGTTTGAGTTAAGATACTTCGACCCATTTCTTGTTTTGGATGAGTTCTCAGGTTAGTGTTTTTTCTTATATTTGTTTTTGCTCAGAGTCCAACTTGCCAGAGATTAATAACAGAACATCTTTCAAAATTGCAGTTACGGCTCCTGCAGGGTTCCCAGATCATCCACATAGAGGTTGGTTTAGTTTATCGTATATACTTTACGTGATTTACACGTTTGCGTTTGTGTTTAAATGAGATTATTTATACTATTTACTCTATTTTTTATTTAGTTTTCATGAAAACACTGCAACCACCTTTCATCTGCGTTTGACATTTAATTTTTTACTATTAACAAATAATTTTGCTTAAAATACTTTCTTCTGAGGTTTAAATTTTGTTACAATGCTTTAAGTTGCATTAACCAACTCTATTGTTATATATCTTGTTCTTTCGTGTTTAAAATTGTTTTTTATTTTTATTTTTTCAAAAACAGGATTTGAGACGGTCACTTACATGTTAGAGGTATTGATCTCTTTTCATCTTCATATATAATTTCACAAAAAACGCCAAACGTTATTTCATGATGTATTATTGTATATATTATACATAGGGAGAGATTTTGCACGAAGACTGTGAAGGACACAAAGGGGTGATAAGAAAAGGAGGATTACAATGGATGACGGCAGGAAAAGGCATAGTTCACTCTGAAATGCCTTCTTCTAACGCTACTGGCACTACTCACAACAAAGGCTTGCAGCTTTGGATCAATCTTTCCTCAAAACATAAACTGTAAGCTTCTTTTATGTAAAAAATATTCATATAGGTAAATGTGGAGTGATCCATGGTTTTTTATGTACTGGATTTTGTTTCTTCTTATTTAAAAGTGTGTGAATTTTCAGAATAATGCCGAGTTATCAAGAGATAGAGAGCAAGGATATAGCAGAAGCAGAGAAAGACGGTGTGAGAGTGAGAATCATAGCAGGAGAATGGAATGGAGTTAAGTCAAAGATTTGCACAAGAACACCAACAATGTATCTAGACTTCACTCTCTCACCTGATTCTAAAATCTCCCAGCCCATTCCACTACACTGGAACGCGTTTGTCTATGTTCTTCAAGGCCATGGCCATTTTGGGGATGCCAAGTCACAACATTCAACAGCTGCCGCGCATCACTTGCTGCTTCTAGGTTCAGGTGGTGACCGGTTAGAAGCTTGGAACGATTCTGATTCGGGTCTGCCGCTTCGGTTTATCCTTGTTGGTGGTGAGCCAATAGGTGAACCAGTGGCTCAGTTTGGTCCTTTTGTTATGAACACACAGGAAGAGATTGATAAAACCATTGATGATTTTGAGAATTTTACAAATGGATTCGAGAAAGCTAGGCATTGGAAGTCTCAAGCTGCTTCTGACTTGGAATTGTTTTAATACATAGCAAATTGTTTCAATAAGTTAGTACCTTTTAATTATTCTTTTTTTTTTCTTGATTTCTTTTCCATTGTTATTTTTAATTATTTGTATTTTTGATATCTCCACATCTATTAGAGAACTAGGTGTTTTGCCCGCATATGCGGGCTTAATTATTTTTAAGACAATTTAAAAAATCATCAAAATAAATGATTATTTTCATCCAAAAAATTAGACCTAGAACATTCAACGTTTTTACATGACAAAATTATTCATAAATTAAAAAAAAAAATCTATTTTTCCTTTAAAACTTTGAAAACAAAATCTAAAATTTTTTTCATTTCTTCTCAATTGATAAAAAATATAGAAACTTATCTTTCAATTTGATAAATTGAATCAATAAATATACATTCAAACTTATCTTTCAATTTGATAAATTGAATCAATAAATATACATTCAAAAATTTATCTTACAAAAATAATAATATTAGTTTGGATAATAATACAATATATTTGAATTTATTTTTTCAACAACATATTTTTTTTTCTTTTTGAATGATCTTTTATTTTATTATGATTAATTCATGTTTAATGTTATACTATATAAAATATAAAATAAATTTAATTTAACGTGTGAGTTCAGAGGCGAAAAATTATTTCACAAATATATATATCATTATGTTATATTATTATATTCTTTTAATTAGAAAATAATTACGTATTATAAATTTTTCAATTTTCTCTTTTCAATTATGTACAATTAAAAAGTTTCTTTATGAGTATTTATTTATGTGTTTTCTGTTTTTGATTTTTTATTTTTGATTTTTGATTAAAATATATTTTTCGGATAACAACACAATATATATAGGAATTATCTTTTTCTTTTTAAATATATATTTATATTATGGATAATTCTTATCATTATTATTATTTTAAATCATTTATCTAATCAAATAAATATTAATTTCGTTTTTATTTTATGTATAATTTATATATTTTATTCATTAAGGGTATAAACGATATTAACCACTCTAACTTTTAACGTGAGAGATCCGTTGCGAAAAATCACTTCGCAAATAATAGTAAAGATTAATAAAGATTTTTTAGTAAAACCATTCCAAATTTGCAACGCCTTAAAAATTAAATGTATATTATACCTTTGTATGTGTTTCTTCTATTTCAAAATTGTAATAAATAGAAATTATAAACATTTATGTTAAAATTGTAAAATACTATGCAAAAATAACATTTATTTTAAATCCAATTTGGGTTATGAATCTGGTTCGATTGGGCGGATTAGAAAAACCTGTTATCAGTTTGGTTTGATAATCCATTAGTTTGTTTTTTCTATTTTCGAAAGAAACTATAACTAAATATACCAGCTTTAAGAAAAATTCTAAACCAAATTAATCAAATTTTGAAAAATAATAATAACTGAACTAATTGAAATAACCAAATTTAATCAAAATCAACAAAAACCAAGATTTTGGTAGAGATTATTAAGCTGAGACAGAAAATATTAGCTTAATTTTGGTAAAAAAATTCATTAACAAAACAAACTAAATACCAAACCAAATTGTGTGGTTCAGTTTGGCACAAAAAAAAAAAAAACTGAATAACCCGAACCGAACTAACAGTTCCAAGCGAACCTAAAAACCAATCAGAGGTTCTTACATTGAAACGGAACCACAGTGGCTCACAAAGCCACCTACTGACAGAAACAATCTCAAAGGTTGTTTGTTCTACCAATCCTCCCAAAAACGACACCGCGCAGAGCCCGAGTTTGTTTCTGTTCCTCAATTCAAACATCTCTCAAGTAACTGAGAATCGTGCGCAGTAGTCAGAGCATCAGAACAAGATGGAGGTTTCGCTGTTTGGTTCCTCACGGAGTTTCCTATTATCCCCAAAGACACCCGCAAGCTCTTTGACAGAAAGAAACTCAAGTTATCTGAAAATGAGGGTTGGTAATCCAGTTAGGTCATATTCAGCTAGATCCCTCAAGTGCAGGTCTATCTCTGAGGATTTGTTTGAGAGAAGTAGCCCACTTGAGGTAATCTTGGAACTGCAACTGTGTGTTTTGTCATAGACTGTTGGAACTTTCAACTTTTTGATTGCTAATCTTGTATTGAAATGCCTTAGAACAAGTTTCAGCATAGTATAAAAGTTGAAACTTTATATTATCTCCTGTAAAGTCTTGGCCTTTGTTGAGGAATTTTCTTGAATGACCATTTTGATATAGGCTATGTGAGCTGTTGATTCTCTCTTATCTTATTCTCACTTGTTTGAAAGGTTAAGAAAGAGCTAGAGACTTGCTTCGACCTCATACATAGGCTTGGGAGAGGGATCCTCTACTTAGGTTCTGCCAGAATCCAACCAAACCATTCACATTACCTGCAATCACAAGAGCTCAGCAGAGAAGTAAGTAAACCCTTTGAAACTCCACAAGAACTTAGTTTTTATCAATTACAATGTAAAGAGATGTGTATTTGTTCAGGCAGCGAATCTGTTGAACTGTACTACATGGTCCGGAGCTGGACCAGGCCTCATGGATGCTGTCACTAAAGGTGCTTTGGAAGCTGAGAAACCCGTCGGTGGCATCAAAATAGAGAAAGAAGCAGGTGAATGGACCGCTTCCAAGGTTCATCCTTATCTCCCTTCTCAAAACTATCACACTTGCAGGTAACTCAGCTAGTCTACACACTTATTCTTACTCTTGAGTGATCCCTATAACGTGGAATCAAATGTTTTAGGTTTTTCTCTGCGAGAAAGCATGGACTTGTGGACGCAGTGGTTAGAAACAATGTTTCTGACAAGACAGCGGTTATTACATTGCCAGGAGGCATTGGCACGCTTGATGAGATGTTTGAGATTTTGGCATTGATTCAGCTCAAAAGGATTGGATCTGTGTTGCCGGTACCGTTCATTGTGATGAACTATGATTCTTTCTACTCGAAGCTGTTTGAGTTCATTGAGAGTTGCGAGGACTTGGGAACTGTTTATAAAGGAGAAGTCTCTGCGTTGTGGAAGGTATGCAATAGCAACTCTGAAGCTTTGACTTACTTAGCTGAGTTTTATGAACTTCCGTATGGTTCTGCAAAACACGAAACTGAACTTAGAGAAACCGCTTGTGGATGACCATCATCCGTTTGTTAGCTAGTTTTTGGTTTTTCAGTTGTAAGAGAGAGTATTTGTGACAATGAACTATACTTATGAAGGGCATGTGGCATATGCAGTGTATATCTTATGAAATACCACTAAGATTTGTCATTGGTGTCAATTCCATATTGTGTTTTCTTTCTCTTAGCACTACGTTGTTGTATTTTGATATGAACCTATTAATACTTTATTAAATAATTTTCAAAATATGTTTTAGGAAAAATAGTTCATTCAAAAACTTTGCATGAGTTTCTGTTTTTTTTGGGGTTAAATATCTAACCAAATCTCTATAATATTATTTGAAAAATGAATTTCCTATGTGTCGAATTCACATTAATTTTTACAACGTTTAATTACAGAGTTATGAAGTAAAAATATTATATTTAATTATTATTATTTTGTTTTCTCTTAACTTTTTCCCAATAACAAATATAATAAAAAGGAAACATTAATAAATTTGTAACACGAATTTAGAAGCAAAAATCTCTATAATATTATTTGAGAAGTCACTTTCTTAGGTGTCGCGCTCACGTTAATTCTTACGTTGGTTGATTACTATGATACCCCTAATGAATTAAAAATACAATTAAATATTATTTCCTTTTTAAAAATTTCCAAATAACAATATAAAATAAAAAGGAAACATTTATAAAATTTACAAAACTATTTAAAAACGAAAATATAAGTATATATAATATGTTTTAATAAAAAAAGGAAAGTTCACAAAATAGTAATATTTAATTTAAATATATTTTAAATAACATAAAATATACATTTGAAGTAATAAATTACTTTATATCTATATCTTCTTAGATAAAAAAAAACAATATCTGTATGTAATGTGATTTCATAAAAAAATATTCACACAAAAAAAATATTGCTATTAGAAAAATAAATATTATCTCTTAAGAAAAATAATTTTAAACAATAATATATATATATATATATATTTTTTTTTTCAAAATAATTATTTTTGTATATATCTATATATTTTATTAGATGATTACATAAAATAATTAACTAACTTAAACTGATATATGTTTAATTGAATTTTTTTTTATAATTAGTATTATTGAAATTATTTTTAGTATATTTATTTGACTATAATATCTTACAATTACAGTAAAAATATAAATTCTATTTTACTTAAATAGTATAATTTCTCAAAAACAATCACTTTTTACTGACTATTTAAGAGTTAACGTGAGCGCGACACCTAAGAAAGTGACTTCTCAAATAATATTATAGAGATAAATTTAATAATAAACATCTTTTGATCAAGTAACTACAATTATTTTAAAATATCATAACACTATATAATTTAACGAGGTAGATATATTATATTTTAATAGTTAAAATTATCTGTTTTATGAATAAGGATTCTGATTTACTTAAGTATTTTGATTATGATTATATTAAGTTTCACAAACATAAACACATAAAATAACTACAATTATTTTAAAATACCACTATATAATTTAACTAGGTAGATATACTATATTTTAATAGTTAAAATTATTTGTTTTCTTAATAAATCTTTTGATTTTTAATTTTCTGTTTTTATGTTTGTGAAACTTAATATAACCATAGTCAAAATACTTAAGCAAATCAGAATTTTTTATTTTTAAAATTATTTAAAAGAAATTTTAGTTAACTATCCAATCAATCTAAAGCATAAATTTATTTAGAATTTATAAAAAATTTTAATTATTGTTAATATTGATATGTGTTTCAAAGCTTCTAAAAATTCATTAGTTACTTATGTATGTAATTTAGACTCAGACACTTTAGTTTTTTTTTCCTTCTAAGCACAAAAAAATCTTAAGTTATATATAATCTTACTAAATATACTTATATTTCTAAGATAACAACCAACATAAATGCAAATAAGACAATTAATCAAAAATTTAATATATTTAAAATATAAAAGATTATAGTTGAATTCAGAAAAATAGATAGAATTCAATATATCTAAATGATAACTAAATCGACCATAAGAACAATAAAATTTACTAAATATAACATATCTAAAATTATATATATATATAATTAAAGTAATATAATAATATAATATAAATTAGAACATATAAACTATAAATTAATTTAAAAATTGAAGTAAATATCAATCAATTATTATTGTATATTTATTTTATAAATATATATGCCCGTGCATGCGCACGGGAAAATCACCTAGTATATGTATATATAACATGATTTCATTAAAAAGGAAAATTCAGAAAATAGTAATATTCCCTTTATACATACTTTTTAAGTAACATCAAATATACTTTCAAAATTAATAAAATATTTTATTTCTATCTATATTTTTCTTAGATGAAAATAAAAATACATTTATATATAAAATAATTAAGTAGCATAAACCGATATATGTTTAATTGGCTAAAGATAGTTTATAATTACTATTATTGAATTTGTTTATTGATTTATTTTGCATAATCTTTTAGTTGACTATAACATCTTACGAATTACAGCAAAAAAAGTAAAATATCTATAAATTAGATTTTATATATACAATTTTTCACAAAGACAATCACAAAATTGTTTTTGTGCTAATTTTTAAAAGATATTAATCATAATACCCGCTAATTTTTAAAAGATATTAATCATAATACCCAAGAAAATCTAAATTTCTCATTTTCTGGATTATTTAAAATCATTTTTTAGTCTACCTTTCAATACATTTATGGAATAAAAATTATTTAAATTTATAAATATTTTTAATTGTTCTAAATATTGATATGCATTCATGATCTTCGAAAAAATTATCAGTTATATTTATATGTAAGTTCTTACTTATCATCGCTTTATTTTCTATTTTTTTTTAAAAACAAGATATAATTTGATAAATATTATGAAAATACATACATATCTAAGAGATAAGTAAAACTAATTTGATTTGATTTAATTAGAATCAATAATAATTATATTTTAGTTTGAATATAAAAGAATATATGTAACTCAATATACTCAATACATGAGTGACTCGACTGGTCCAACTTATATTCAAAATCAAAGATCTAACTACAGCAAAAAACATATAATTTTATAATAACAGCAGTTTATTTATTTCTATACATATAAATTATAGGACGACTCAAACATATTAATAAAAATATATTGACCAATTGTTCTTTTGTAAAACTTATATATATGCATGAGACTTCAGAATATTATCATTACATTCATTTATTTAATTTTGAATCATACATTTCAGTTTATTTTTTTTTATTTCATTATAAGTACACATATATTAAGTTACACATAATTTTAAGAAAATATATTTACATATCTAAGACGATAACCAACTTAAATGCATATAAGAAAATTAATTAAAGTTTTAATATATTTAAAATAAAATATTAAAGTTGAATTAGAGAATATATGTCATCCAATATATCCAAATGAAACCAAATCCACAGTTAATCCAAACAACAACCAAACCAACTTGATAACATATCTAAAGTTACATATCTAAATAAAATAAAATAATATTATTGATATAAATTATACTTAAATTATAAATTGATTTAAGTTAAAATGATCAATTAATTATTTATATTATATTATTTTATAAATATTTATATATGTGCATGAACACGAGAAAATCATTTAGTACATATTAAATATTAACAATAATTTGTGTTCATATTTTAAGAGATTCAATTTGAGAAACTTTCAGTCAGATCTCTTAAGGAAACTTTAATAATTTAGAGATTTGATTTGTTTTTCCTCTACCGACAATCAAGTGTTGTAGGCAGTTGAAGAACCGTCCAATACCAACAGTGTCTTAATTTTCAGCCTATAGAGATACAAGTGTTTAATCAGGTTTTAAATCAAGCCAGACCAAACAAATATCTCGTAAAGGAACCTTACCAAAGCAATCAACTTGGTCCATAATTTCCTGCTAATGCAAAAAAGGAAAAGAAAAAAGAAGCAAACTTTTTTATAAAGGGTAAGTTTCACTAGAAGCTTTAGAGCCGTTGTGGTGTAGAAACTGGAATACAAACAAAAAAAAATTGAATAGAAACAAAAGTAAAAACTTCAAAAAAGGAGAGGCGTCTAAAATCCGTGGATCGTGCTTGCCTACCTAGAAAAGTCTTTGGATGAATATTAAAAAACGCAATTATTGTTTTCTCTTTACACTTTCTAATTCCACCTTCTTCTTCTTCTTCTCCTTCTCAAAGCTCAAGAAAGACACAAAAATCAAGAAGCAAGAAAACAAAGATAACTTTCTTCTTTTTTGACCTCCAAGCTTAAAGGTTATAAGCAGAGCCTTAATTTCTTCTTTATTAAAATGAAAGTTTCTAACTTTATCCTTTATTTCTGGAACATTCGTCCTCGTCCCTTGGTTTATGGGCAGTTTGTTTGTTTGTTTCCTCGAGAAAGTTGATTACTTTCTTGGAATCCGTCTATGCCCTTTCTCTTTGTTGTGTGTTTAAAAGATGCTTCTGTGGTTTGTTTTAGTAACTTAGTGAGTTGAGTAAGCCCCTCTTGATCATAATCAAAGTTCATAGTTTTTTTTTTTGCTTCAATCAGGTAAAAAACTTAGACCAAACTGTTTGAGTAGTAGTTCTTGAGTTTTGCTTCTGTTAAGTTTTGTTTCTTGTGATAGGGTTTGAATTAGTGTCTTTTTGTTAGTTATGTAGAGAATCCAAACCGAACTCCAAATTGTTTGAGGAGTTGTTCTTTAGCTTTGCTTCTTATTACATCATCTTAAAGTTATGTAGTTTGTAGGAGATTTGATTAAACTGGCTTCTGTTAAGACAAAGTTTTTGTTTCTTGTGATAGGGTTTGAGTTAGTGTTTTTTGTTAGTTATGTAGAGATTCTAAACCTAACTTTTAAAGGACAATTCTAATTGAGCTGCTGTTTTTTTGTTTGTTTGTTTGCAGTTTCTGTAATGGAGTCTCCACAATCTGTGGCGTCAACCTTTAACGGTATCCACTTGAAGGGCAGTGATGAGAAAAGCATAACAAAGAAAGCTGTCATCACGCCTGATTCATCAGACAGCTTCATTGGTGTGCTTGAGGTTTTTGTTCACCAAGCTAGGGACATCCACAACATATGCATCTATCATAAGCAAGATGTTTATGCTAAGCTTTCTCTCACAACCGATCCCGAGAGCTCCTTGTCCACGAAGATCATCAACGGTGGAGGGAGAAACCCTGTCTTCGACGATACTCTCCACTTCGACGTGAAGAGTGTTGTTGATTGTTCGCTGAAGTGTGAGATATACATGATGAGCCGCGTGAGGAACTATCTTGAGGACCAGTTGCTTGGATTCACTCTTGTCCCTTTGTCTGAAGTGATTGTGAGGAACGGGAAGTTGGAGAAAGAGTTCTCTCTTTCTTCAACCGATTTGTTCCACTCTCCTGCAGGTTTTGTTGAGTTGTCTCTCTCCTACGCAGGAGAGTTCCCTGAGGTGATGATGCATATTCCTGCGGTTCCAACGGTGGATGAGACCGAGTTGGCTTCTATAGAGGTTGATGAGTCTGAGTTTTTGGATCCGAAGATTGTCTGTGAAAACAATCAAATGGTGTCTAGTTACTTGGCCACTCCTTGTGATGATTCTGATGATTTTGTGGGCTCTGAAACCGCCTTTGTGGAAGTAAACAGTGTTCCTTCTGCAGTTGCTGACACTGTTGAAGAAGAATCAGCTCCACCAGGTACTGACTTCACAAACGGAATCTCTTCTCCATCAAATGCTGTTAGCTCGGGTTCCTCGGGCACTCATGATGATTTAGTACTATCAAGCAAAGGGAACAACTCAAGTTCAGACCAAGAAGTGAAGAAGAAGCTATCAAGTGAAGAAGAAAACAACTCAGGTTCAGACCAATTAGCAAAGAAGCCAGCAGATACCATCAAGAATAGCGATTTAGATAAGACGGATGGTGAAGAGGTTGTGAAACCGATTGTGACAGTGAACTTTGAACCAGAGCAGAAGGTAGTGCAGCAAGATATTGTTGACATGTACACGAAAAGCTTGCAGCAATTCACTGAATCACTGGCGAAGATGAAACTCCCTTTGGACATGGATAGCCCAACACAATCAGAGAACTCAAGCTCCTCCCAGCAGACTCCAAAGAGTGCTAACTCTCGTGTTTTCTATGGCAGTAGAGCCTTCTTTTGAAGCTTTGGAGGCAATCACAAAGTCGGAATCAGGAGTAGCAACTAATGAAAGTGTAATAATAAGTTGAAAGTAGACTTATCTATAATGTGTAACTATTGCCTTCAGCTTTTCTTGTTATCTGCAACTCTTTTACTTAATTTAGTACTAAAATCTCGCAACCTTATCCTTTAGCAACCTTGTTCTAAGACAGAAAGACGACAAGTTCTGTTATAAACAGTGCATGGAGGTCTCTTCTGTGTTAACCTTGCGCCATTAATACTCCAGTAAAAACACTGTACCAGTTCCAATGGCTACCCCAAAGCTTGCACCAGTTCAATGATATCACTGGCTAACCTTTCGACATTGATAGCGCGACTCAATCAAGGAACTCAAGCTCCTCTCAGCAGCGATAAAGAGCAAAAGCTCCTGTGTTTTTTTATGGCAGTAGAGCCGTCTTCTGAAGCTGGAAGCACAAGTTTATCATCAGAAGTAGGTAGTTAAACTGAATGATAAGTTAACGTAGACAATCTAAAATGTATAACTATCTTCCTTTGACGTCTTTAGCATTTCTTCTTGTTATCTGCAACTTTTTCCATTTACTACTGAAGTTTCACAATCACCATCCCTTATTTAACAGATGTCTCAGACATAAAAGACAACAAGTTCTGTTATGAAAGGTACAAAAACAACGTTACCATACACACTGCATGTCTGCAACTTCAACAGAACATATCAAACTCAACCAACAACTACGGATCTGCAGGCTCAAAGCTGGCTGAAGGGTCAATTCGAGCAACAAGAGTGCATTTAAGTGGATGAGCCATTCGCAGGGTCATATCTCCAGTCTCTTCCATGTTCACTTTATTTCCATCAACACTCCAGTCAAAACACTGTACCATTGTTCCAATGGCTAGTCCAATGAAGATATAACCTAAGTTTGAACCAGGGCATCCCCTTCTTCCGCTCCCAAAAGGAAGGTAGTTCACAGCTAGCTGCTCTCTCATCTCTTCTATCCCCTTTGAAGGAGAAACCATGAACCTCTCCGGTTGAAACTTGTCTGGTTCCTCCCATGAATTCGGGTCTCTCATCACTGCATACGTGTTTATGATCATAGTAGTGTTTTTTGGTATGTAAAACTCTCCGATCTTGCATCCTTCCGTTGCATTCCTCACCAAGATTGGCGAATGCGGGTGTAGTCTTAGCCCTTCTTTCACTACAGCCTGCAAATAAGGCAAATTTGCGAGATCTGTTTCTTGAATTAACCTCGTTTTCCCGACAAAAGATTCAATCTCTTCTCTCAAAGTTTTAAGAATCTCAGGGCGGTTAATCAGTTCCGCTATTATCCACTGTGTTGTTTGTGCTGAAGTATCAGTGCCTCCAAGGAAAAGTTCCTATAAAAAAAGTGATCAATGTAAAAAGACAAGATACTTTGAATGATCCTTAAGCAGCACTACTAAGAGATAACATTACCACAAAAAGTGCTTTGATTTGGTTCCTTGAAATCTTAAACTCAGCGTTGTCATCTGCACAGACTTCCAACAGAACATCCATCATGTCTCTGTCCTCTTTCTGGTTCGGATTCTCTTCATGTTCCTTAATAATCTTCTCCAGTAATTCATCGTACCTCTGTGAGACCTCCATAATTTCCTTCTCAAACAGTGAGATACCAAGCTTCTTGAGAAGTCTACCAACCGTGCTAGCTATAAGGAACTTCTTCACCAAACTGAGTGATTTAGTCACCAAGCTTCTGATTTGCTCTGCTTCACCGTTCTCCTCAGAGCATTTCCTCCCCATTATCATCCTGCAAATGGAATTATTCGTCAGCTTCATCATCTCTTCACCAACATCAACAGCCTCATTCTTTGCCGCCTTGTCAAAAAGCATAGCACGGAATGACTTAAGTTCTTCCCCACGGATGAGCCGTGTCCGCTCGAGAGAATGAGACCCGAGAAGTTTGGTGACTAATAGTTTCTTCATGAACTTCCAGTAATCTCCATAAGGAGCTGAGATAAAGCCAAATGATCCAAACAGTATTGACTTTTCCATTATAGGAACCTCACGGTCACGGGTTGCAAAGTTCAGGCCATGAGTCCTCAAAATTTCATAGGCCATGGAGCCTGATGAGACAAGAACAATTGGGATAGTAAAGGCCCGAAGGTGAAGGAGAGGACCGTACTTGGAAGAGACTTTCTGAAATGATTTGTGACTTGGAACAGAGAGGAGATGGTGCAGATGACCAATGACAGGTAGAGATGGTGGACTCGGAGGTAGATCACAGTCTTGGAGTTTTGGTTTCTTGAAGAAGAAAGAAGAGAGGCCAAACCGCGTGAGGAGCCATAGGAAGATGAAGATGAAACAGAGCTGAAAGTCAACAGTGATTATAGCCATTGTTGTCCAAAAACTGCAGAGAGAGTTAGATGACGCAGAAATAGATATAATCACTAGGTCAGAGCTTTCCTTGAGATCCTTTGTGATATATAATTTAATATTGCAATAGTTTATTCCTTTGAGAAAGTTGCACAAGGAGACAGATCAGGTTCCACATGATATAAAAATATTCATATAACATGTGAAAATATGTTTTGAATTCTTTTTTTTTTGGGTTCAAGAAACAATCTTTCGCAAGCAACATTAAAACACTGGATAACTGCCAATCTAAAACATCTTTAATCTGTCCTGAATCAAAAACCTGAGTTTGAGCTTCAGCTTGGGGTTGATAAGGAAGCTCACATCAGCTGAGAAAGCGCTACTGCAATCTGAGAACCAATAAGGGCATTGTTTTTCACAAGTGCAATATCTGAAACTGTGTAAAGGAACTCAAGATTTACAATACTGAGGCATTGCTGTTTCTGAAAGACTTTGGATTCTGGATATAGATATAAGTTTCTGAACTAAGGGAACCTATAGAGAAAGGATACTTGCTGCAAGTGACGTGCCTCCAGTTAACTCATTCACCCGTGCAAGTAAGAATGGAGTTTCTGCATTTCCAGTAACGTTTTGTTCCCTGGCCAAAACCAAACTCAGATGTCAGACTGACAAAATAACAAAAAGACGGAAAGCCTTTAAAAGTATTCTGAAGCAAGCTTTTTCTCTTATGACCTTGCTTCTGTAAGAGCACGCTGTGTTGCTGATTCGATAAGATTTCCGGCAGCTGAATGCTGTTTCGGGATTGGAACAGCAAATAGAATCCCCGCCTTACGGTTTAGCTTCATGTTTGCATCTGAAAAATACAGTTTTTGAAGGTGGTAAGGGTCAAAGCTCATATGAAAAATAAACTTTTGAGACAGTCTACTCTTGCCTATTACTCGAGCACAGTCTTCAGGGCTATCAACACGGGAAGGTGCCTACAGAAGTCGTAAAAGTCGTCAGAACTAAATATTTAAGTAGAACCAAGTGGCTGAGTTCAGTTTTCCACCTTACAGCCGCTTTTCTCTGTGAAAAAAGCCGGAAACTCATCGCTCTTGTATGCAGCAACATACACTTCTTGAGTTTCCTGCATTGTCAACGAATAGCTCCTATGAATATTAACTCTTAAATATTTGATTAATATGCCTTGACAAGGGGTTATATACCAAATATTCAAGGGTCTTTGGAATATCAAGTATTGATTTAACCCCTGCTGATATCACTGCTATAGGAGTTCTTCCGAGTGCAGTAAGATCAGATGATATGTCCATAGCTGCATCACAACACACAATATAGCAAAGCATAAAGAGTGCATATTGGCTTCAACAGTACCCAACAGAACCATCTAAATAGAGTTTTTAACTATGTAAATGGAAATCTGAAACTAAAACTACAAAGTGGACATGCAACTTACTATGGTTTGCATGCCTATGCACACCTCCTATGCCGCCGGTTACAAAGACTTGGATGCCAACCTAAAACAACCAAATGCTTTGGATGAAATGAGTCTAAAATGATACTGATGTTACTTAACAAAGATATATGAGCAAGTTGAGTTACCATTGAAGCGAAAAACAAAGTTGCAGAGACCGTCGTTGCACCATTTGCTCTTGTTGCCACCTGAAGTAAAACAATGCATGTAATATATGTAAAAACAGAACAGTTTGCGTCAACTGAAGGTAAAGAAGCTTAGCTTGATTGAACTGATGCAATTTGATTTTATGAACAATTGTAGAATAAAAATCCCTACATGACGAGTATGAAAACTATCTTAAACTAATAAGAAAGTCCTATGTTCTCGGTTGTACTGGTGAACATTAGAGAGCCACCGGAAGTGAAGAGCATATAGAGTAGTGACTCACAACATGTGGTATGTCCCTGCCTGCAGTCTTTTGGACACTTTTCCCAAGAGATGCAAGACGTTCAAGTTCTTCTTCGTTCAGACCTGTTTTCACTACAAATCAGCATCTACAGAAAATCCTAACTCACCTATGTTTTTGATCTTTTACTTAATAAAGAGCTTTTATATCCAAGTTGGGTTGTAAAAAGCTAACTCACCTATGCAAGGAACTCCGTTCAAGATAGCTATTGTTGCAGGAACTGCTCCATTTTCTCTCACAATGGACTCAACCTCTTTCGCTGTTTGCAGGTTCTGAGGGTAAGGCATCCCTAAATTGAGACAAGAACCATTTGAAATCAGACAAAGGATTCAAGACTCTCTAGGCTTAAGATCTCAGCAAAACAAAGATCTCAGCAAAACAAACCATGTGAGATTATGGTTGACTCAAGAGCGACCACAGCACGTCCATTGGATATGGCTTCAGACACTTGTGGAGATATCTTGACCAGACTCCTAAGCTGCTTCAAAACCAAATCAAGATCAGAGGATGAGACTAAAAGATAATTGGATAAATACAAAAAAAAAGGTGAATTCTTTAATTACAGAGAAACCTTGTTGTGGGCTTCAAGAGGGGAGATATGATTCTGGAGAGTTGAGATTCTGGAAAGAGAGGAAGAAGATGAAGCCATTTCTCTTTGAATCACTCTAACCAACGTAAAGATTCGACCTTTTTATGTGTTCTTGATTATTCTTTACTGACAAAAACAGTGGGAATATATATATACGAATACACTGAGATCTGTACTCAAATCTACGGAATAATATTCATATAAGTGATAATTAACAACTACTTTGGTATTATATGGATAATGATTACAATTCCATCACCCAGAAGCCAATAAACATACAGAAAATTGCTCAAAATCGGTTTTGATCACGAAGTTTATTTTTCTGAAAGGGGAGATCTTATTAATGGTATTCTCGAAATTTTATTTTAATTAAATATTAAATATTTAAAATTAATCTTATAAAATTACTAAGTGGACAACTACATTTAACCCATGTTAGGAAATTAGGCTGAGCCCTTGTTGGACGGCTGAATCAGACTTAGTACATAGCCAAAAAAATCGAAAATTAAACGGAAATTACGTGAAATTTTAGATTTTTAATGTATAGATTTTTTATATTATAAAACATTTTATCTTTTATATTTTTTATAAGATTAATATATTTTAATTTAAAATTGAATAAAACCAACAAATATAAAATATATACTTAATATGATATAATTTTCATCAAAATTATATAAATAAGTTGCACTTATAATATTTTATAACAAATAAATAAATTAAAAAATATACTTAAAAAATAAATAAATAAAATTAAATAATAAATCAGGTGATCACCTAGACGATTAGGCGACCATTTAGGCAATTAGACGGTCATTTAGGCGGTCTAGACGTACCTTTGGTTTGTAGACCAATTTTGACATAAATCAAGGCGGATGACTGTCGCCTAGAGTCTAGACGATCACCTAAACTGCTAGGCGCCCGATTTAACTAATTTTCCTATTATTTCTTTTATACCTAATTTAATTATTATTAAATATATTTCTTATAGCCTAAAATTAAGGAACTAAATAGCTAATATATTATTATTTTAAAATAATGAATTTAATTTATATCTAATACAATAAATTTAAGTATCTAATTAATTTAATTTTATTTATTTATATAAAAGAATTATATATGCATACTAATTCATATATATAACTGTAATTTAATCCAAATCTAAGAAATAAATTATTCAAAATCTTCACCAAAATACATGATAATATAGTTCTTACAAATAGAGCATTAAAATTAGATACATATATATACATATATATATATATATATATATATATATATATATATATATGATAAAAATATATTAATAGTTAGCTACTGTTAATACTAAGGGTATGCTTCCGCGCAAGCACAAGGTCGGGGAAATAATTCATGTTTTCTATTTATTATATCTTTTGACATTTGATATATAAGCTGAACTGATATGGCGTGTGATAGTCTTTCGTATTCATTAATAAAGATCTAAAAAGTCACATATATTGGCAACCAATATACAGTTTTGTTAAATGTCAAAGGTTCTTCTCAATCTACTCTAATTTCCATAAATTCGCCATTTTTATATGTATTCTGGGAATCTCATAAACAGAGGTGGCGAGCAACCATACATTGAGAAATTCAACCAAGGTAGAAAAAATCGAAAGTTGAGAGGCATGCAATGGTTTTAGCAACTGGAGTAGAAGATGAAGTAATTTTCGAGAAGAGGTAATATATTCGACAAGAAGAAAAATCGATGAGAGAATCAGATATGAATGGTTCCTCCGTTAAGATAGAGTATATATTAAATGGAATACATGAGGTGTTACGAATGTGGTATATTATTAATTAACGGAGTAAAAATGGATCCATTATGCAGTTTTGTTAAATGCCAAAGGCTATTTTTAATTTTCTATAACTCCCATAAATTTGCCATTTTTATGTTCTGAGAATCCATAAATGGAGGCAATGAACAACCAAAAATTGAGTAGTTTAATCAAGGTAGAGGAAATCGAAAGTTGAGAGACATGCAATGACTTTAGCAACTGGAGCAAAAAATGAAACCATTTTCGAGAAGATGTAATAGAATTCGAGTAGAAGAAGAATCGATGAGAGAATCAGAGATGAATTGTTCCTCTGTTTAGATAGAGTATATATTAAGCGGAATGCATAAGGTGTTACAAACGTGGTCCATTAGTAATTAATAGAATAAAAAAGGGAGACGTAAAGGTATGAAGGTAGAGTAGGAGAAACTGACTCATGGAAACACACAATCACTATGTGTTTAGATTAATCTGAAGTCATGTTTAGAATGACGCTAGGCGTTAGTCGGGCGGATGATGAAGGCCTAATGAATTAATACAAAATAATTTTCATCAAAATTATAGAAATAAGTATCACTTATAATATTTTAGATCAAAAACAGTCTGTCTCGACTGATAGTAAATAGCTTGTTCGTCTAAAAAAGCTAGTTTAGAGTAAGGTAGGTTAAAGAAGCTAGCTTGATTGAATTTATGCAATTTGATTTCATGATGAGTATGAAAAAAACTTAAACTTAAGAATAAGAATAAGCAAGTCTTATGATGGTGCAATAAGTAGAGAGCCACTAGAAGTGAGGAGACTCACAACATGTGGTATGTACCTGCCTGCAGTCTTTTGGACACTTTTCCCCAGAGATGCAAGATGTTCTAGCTCTTCCTCGTTCAGACCTGTTTGCTCCAAATTAGCATCTACAGAGAAACCTAACTCACCTACGTGTTTGATCCTTTACCCAATAAAGAGATTTTGTATCCAAGTTGGATTGTAAAAGCTAACTCACCTATATAGCTATTGTTGCAGGAACAGCTCCATTTTCTCTCACAATGGATTCTATGCGATAAGCAGAGTGCTACTTTAGCAAATCCTAGTGAAATTTCTATTCAAGAAGAGGCTGAAGCATATGGTAGATGGTTACATGTAGCAAGTCTGGAAGAAGATTTCTTGAAGCAGAGAGCTAAGTTACATTGGTTAGATGTTGCAGACCAAAATAACAAAACATTTCATAGGGCCATTAAATCGAGGCATGCTCAGAATATTATCAGGGAAATCAGATGTTAGACTGGAAGTGTAGTATCTACTCATATGGAGATAAAACAAGAAGCTGAAAGATTATTCTCTGAATTTTTAAATCAGGTTCATGAGAGCTATCATGGAGCTACTGAGATGGAATTGCAGGATTTGCTTACATTTCGATGCTCTTCAGATGACTGTAGACTTCTTGAGTCTGATGTTACTGAAGAAGAAATTCGTATGGTGCTTTTTGCAATGCCAAATAATAAGTCTCTGGGACCAAACAGATTCCCTTGTGAGTTTTTAAGACTACCTGGTCAGTGATTTCTCATGATTTAGTCAATGTTTAAATTTGAGTTTTTACAATTCTTGCGTTGGTTCCTAAGAAAGTTGATCCATTGGAGATGAAGGATTACCGTCCTATAGCATGCTGTAATGTGCTTTACAAGGTGGTGTCGAAAATATTGGCTAATAGGTTGAAGCAACTTCTTCCTAGGATCATCTCAGAGAATCAGTCGGCGTTTTTGAAAGGCAGGCTTCTTATGGAAAACGTGTTGTTAGCTTCTGAGCTAGTAAAAGACTATCACAAAGTTACTGTTTTACCAAGGTCCGTAATGAAAACTAATATATCAAAAGCTTTTGATATTGTGTAATAGATATTTGTGTTGAAGAGTCTGAGTGCTCTAGGATTTCCTGAGAAGTTTATTCATTGGATTAAACTTTGTATTACCAGTCCTTCGTTCTTTGTGCAAGTTAATGGTGATCTTGCGGGCTATTTCCAAAGCTCTAAAGGTCTTCTTCAGGGGTGTTCTCTATCGCCGTACATGTTTGTGCTATGTATGATTGTCTTGTCAAGGAAAATTGGTAAAGCTGTGGTGGATGAGAAGTTCAAGCTTCACCATGGTTGTCAAAACCTCTCTCTCACGCATCTTTGTTTCGCGGATGATCTTATGGTATTTGTGGAAGGCTCTAAGAAGTCTATAGAAGGGGCTCTCCCAGTGTTTGAAGTGATTGAAGGGTGGTCCAGGTTACGTATCAGGCTGGAGAAGTCCACCATTTACATGGCAGGGGTTCCAGTGGCTGAAAAAAGAAGTATTCTGACAAATTTCCCGTTTGCTGAAGGTGAGTTTCATGTGTGTTATCTGGGGCTTCCACTCATGAGGCAGGCTATGAGAAAACAAGACTATGCTCCTCTCATGGAAAGAATCAGAAGTAAGATTTGCTCTTGGACGTGCAGGTTTTTGTCTTATGCTGGAAGGTTACGGCTGATAAAATCAGCGGTGTTGAGCATAGTAAACTTATAACTGTCTTTCAGCTTCCAAGCAAATGTATCAAGGAGGTGAGCAAATATGTTATGTTTTTTTTAGTACAAGGCCATCACTTAAATCTACAAGTGCTAAAGTAGCGTGGACAGTGGTTTGTGGAATTAAGAGCGAAGGAGGTTTGGGGATAAGAGTTCTAAGAGAAGTTAACAAGAAGTATGTTCTTAAGCTGATTTAGAGAATATTATCTAGTGACTCATTATGGGGAAGTGTTGGTGTCGAAAACCGTAATCTCGAAATCAACGTCTACGATAACTTCTGTAAAAATGGAATCATTACTTTCCGCAAAAATCGTTTTATAAAACTCGAGAATCGTTTTATAAAACTCGAGAATCGTTTTATAAAACTCGAAGATCGTTTTATAAAACTCGAAGATCGTTTTATAAAACTCGAAGATCGTTTTATAAAACTCGAGAAGCCGTTTTATAAAACTCGAAGATCGTTTTATAAAACTCGAGAAGCCATTTTATAAAACTCGAAGATCGTTTTATAAAACTCGAAGATCGTTTTATAAAACTCGAAGATCGTTTTATAAAACTCAAAGATCGTTTTATAAAACTCGAAGATCGTTTTATAAAACTCGAGAAGCCGTTTTATAAAACTCGAAGATCGTTTTATAAAACTCGAATATCGTTTTATAAAACTCGAGAAGCGGTTTTATAAAACTCGAAGATCGTTTTATAAAACTCGAAGATCGTTTTATAAAACTCGAAGATC